CGCTCTCCTTCCTAATAGAGCATAGAACTTTCAGCTAGCATTGTACTTCTTTAGGTTCCTCCCCGATCGTCTCTGGGTTCTGAGGACGAGAATGCATTGAGCGAAGAAGGTCGAAGTGAATCCGTGGAACCTGTGGAAATCGGTGGGCCATCAGTGATGCAGAAAACACAGCGATCGGTAACGCCAAATTCCGTACCTGAGACTGATGCGGCAGTGCGAAGAATCTTGCAAATTATTACGGATATCAGTGTACGTTGTTTCGTTCTTTACCAATGATAATAATCGATAACCATCATTATTTTGTGACCTTCTCTGTGGAAAGGAAACCCGTACAGAGATCCTTGATTCATGGGGGGCATATAGGAACCAGCGTTGTATCAAAGGTGGTGAACCAGTAGTTTTATGAGTGTCGAAAAGAAAGATAGGATTCAAAGAAAATGCCTTCCACGCCGCAGCCATGTTTGACCTTAATTACCTCGTGCTAGGAGCGCGAACCATTCGAAAGGTCACCCTATTCCTCTGCGCGCACATATTCGTACAACACTGATGCACGTGTGCACGCTACTCCTACTGTGCCATTGATTTCATTCAATTCATTCATTGTATGTTTTCGGAGAATTGTTTGTTCAGAAGCCGCCTCATCCAACTGCTGCGGACAATCTGCACTGCACTCAATGCATTGGTGAAATTCAGACATTGTAATTGATGTGCATTGTAAAGTATCGTTATTGTAAATAATCCATACGATCAACCTTCGCCTATGAGTTTTCCTACGGTAAAGCTGTGATATGGATAGTCCTTCTTAAGAAGAAATTCCTTTTATATTATGCCGGCCATGTATGTGGAACCTCAATGAGATAATGTGTCAGTTTTGCAGGATTATCTGTTGAAATCACACAATTTATCTTTTTGACACGTAACATATCGGGGAAATGTTCATACATGGCCGGCTTGAGTATAAGAGAGTATTAAAAGCTGCACCACTGCTCCAAAGTGCGAGCCGAGTTCATATTTATCACTTCTTTCTGAGCGGGACTTTATAGATCGAATTCCTATTCTAGGATATGAGCAAAACTGTCCTATTCCAGAAAATTTCTAGGTCTGCAACTTTTTTCTGTTACTTAATCATTCTCAAACTTATTTACTTGTGATATGTGAGCTTGTTAGCTCGGCTTTTTACTGAGTTCTCTTGCTCCGTTATTGTTTGTAGTGAAGAGATTTTTCAGAGTTCACAGAGAATATAAACTTGCTTTTTCTTTTTGTCTGATCTAGTTGCTTTCGCTTGTATATCATGTTGCCTTGTTCAAGTAAGAAAGCATGGGACCGCTGACATAGTTGTGTTTTCATCTTTCTTCGGGGCGTATGTGTAGTTGGGTTATAGTCATTGTAATACGATGGTGGGCTATAGAGTTGTACCAAAACGCCATAGTAATGTCAATAAGGATGATGTTTGTTTGTTGTTTCGGAAGTGAATGGATGTAATTTACGGAGTTCGTGTTCTGCTATGTCAGGCTTCACTGATCGTGGGTTTTTATCCTGAGTGCTGCCCGAAGTTACCCTGACACGCGATATCAGTATGTTGATCAGGGGTACCAGTTCAAGAATATTCGAAGAGTTGCGATCTCAAACTCTGGTTTACGACGCAGAGAGCAACTGTCTTTCGTAGACACAGAGCGGTGCTCTCTGCAGATTGCCACATTTACGTCGATTCGGTGGAAAGCGCTGATAGTCGACTCTCCATGGTGAACTCGATGCACACCGCAGCCGAGCTCCACCTGATCTCTCACAAATGTTTCTGCTGATTGTCGACACAAACTCAGGTAGAGTACACAGTGTATCGTGTTACGAAGTACATAAATAGGTACTACACTGTCTGTGGCATTTCCGCTCGAATTTATGTGTTCGATACACGTGCGTAGCAGTACCTCTTCTATTACTGCCTCTCTCGGACACAGCAGGAGCACTCACATCTAACCTAACATCAGTCTCGAAAGTAGTCAGCTCCTTGGTGTTGTCGCCTAGGCTGTGCGGCGTTTCTTAAAAGCACGAAAAGCAATAACATCGTCTTTTGACTACACGACTTGCGTTTCGGTGGGAATGATGAGAGAAGTGCAAACAAATGCGGTGTCCTAACCACTGAAGTGATGACGCTGGCATTTTTGAACTTGACTTTCTCCCCTTTTTAAAGTTCACCCGCGCACTCTCACTTACATTGCGTTCATCCTCCACTTCTTTCTGTGATTAGGAAAGCTTTTGACTGGTACTTATACGCAGTTTTCCTCTGAAAAAAGAGTTTGGTCATGTAGGCCAAGTGCATATGACGAGGGAGCATGTTCTCATCTGGCCGTGAAATGAGCCCATGAGCTGTCGACCTCTTAATTCCGCTCCTGATCGAATTGTATTTGGCCTTCGCACACAGAGGGATAGTATTTCGAATGTATTTTCAAATGTGAGTGCAAGAAGCGATAGGGGCATGGTACAATAGGTTCACAGCTGGTCTGAATTTGCTACATCACCTTCCTGATCATGTTTAAACGTGAGGAAGCGTAAATATAAGTGATGTGCGTGACATTGCTAATGGTCGCAGCGAGCGCGGCGTAATAAAACACGCAGGTGGGGACATGTTTTCCTACAAAGATTTTATTCCCGAGGGCAGCTTGCGCGAGTGCATTCGGCTGACATGTCGGATTCTTCTTCTGACGATTTGCTGAGGGGTATCTGCTTTTATGCATGTGACTAACGAAAATGACAAGAGGACCGCGCATATAACACAATAGTTGAACACTCTGAGTATGCCGCCGGTTCTTTCCTGATATTAACCTTTCCTATTGGCCAAATATGCTATTTTAGGTGTGCTTCACTGCAACGTGGGAGGCTGTTGAGCATGGAAATCGGAAGCTGATCGGCGTGACTTCCATGTACATTTTCTTTGTGTATGGCTTGTCAATTTTACTACTGGAGAAGCTTTACTTGATCCTCAAGGTATGTGGCTCATCAACTAGTTTCTGTGAATGAATATGGAGCAGTAAGCTTCCTCGGATGCGACTACAAGCTCGCCGGGCTGCTTCTTCAACTTAGGGTGTACTTATTGCTCACGTAAGAGGCCATCCTGCTAGTAGAAGTTTGTCCCTTCTCATCGGTGCAGACTTCCGCTTACACTCTTATCTTTTCGCGGCTCGTGAGGGGCCAGCATCCTCACGAATTTTCATTGAGCTCCACGCCGACCGTCACGAGTGACCTGCCGCAGATACATACCAGCGAGCTAGGAGTCGTTTCCTTGTTGATAGCCTCTGCCTCGGGTTTTCCATTTACGTGGAAATATGTTGATAGAGAGACGTGTTGTTATAGTGTCCTGGTCTACATGCTGGGGTTTCCAATAAAGCGCCTAAACCACTTTCAAAAAACTCTCTCAATAAAACACCTATTGCATAAGGCGATATGAAATATCGCAGCGCAAGTTCTATCCCTTATGGATGTAAAGCGTGAATTCTTGTATTAAGCACCACCCAGTTAAAAGTGCGCTCCGGCCATTGTAGTGACTCGGCTGATTTTAATAGAAAGGCTTCATGTAGAGTCACCTGTGATGTGTTATAATATTCGTTTCACCCACCAATATGTTCATCCACCACCATCTTTGCCCGTTTTTCTCGATCTCTGGGTTGCTATGGCACAGAATTAGGAACACTTGCTGTCAGAAGCGCCCTTTCTGGTCCATACTCCGCCCATGGTGGATGGGCTCCGCTCACTTGTGTGTGTTTTACATCGTGGCCCATATCCCATCCATCCAAAAGTTGAATTGGGCTCTCTAGGTTATTTTTTGGTTAATAATGAATGTCATGAGTGAGGGACAGAGAGACGTTAGGCCAATGTCAAACTCTGCGAACCCAGCTGTTCGCTAGTAGCAATTCCGCAGAATCGCCTGCTGACGACTCACCGGGCTTGCTTCTAGCGAATCACTGGATTCGCATATTCTGACTCGGACATAGGCTCTGTATTCAATAGACTAATTATTCAACTGAAAAATTGGAGTTCAACACAAGTTGTTGTGCTAACCTCATTTTTCAATTTCACAGTTTCCTTCCCCCTCAGTCAAATGCAGAGTGAGCTGTTTCCTACTTTGCTCTATGAAACGACAAGTTTCAAAGCGAAATATCGAATTAATCTTCTGTGATGATACCTCTTTCTTGCTCTTACTTCTCCATAATTTTACCTTTGGTGTTTTTGTCCTGTGTACCTAACTTTTGTGACGTTTATCTCGATGTTTTTTGCCTGAGAAGTGAGGCTAAGTAATTTTTTTTCATTATAGGATATAGTTCCACTTCCTCTACGTGCCGCAATCTACGTTTTTGTATGCTATTTTTGGGAGTTCAGCACTGGCCTATTCTTGAAGCGCTGGGATGCCTGCCCATGGGATTACGAAAGGTGTGTTACGTATATGATACCGTTTTGGTATCACCTTTCTTTATTATTTTCACAATTACTTGTTGTTTCAGTTATTTCCACTATCATTTCATGGGACTTATTACTTTCGAATATATTCCTGTATGGTACATATCGTCGATAGCTTGCGAGCGATTCCTAATTCGTTATGCACTTCAGTCGGCTTGGTTTGTTACAGAGATGATCAGTACTGA